TTGAAAACATTTCAAAGGGTAAATTGCCTTCAAATCAATTACGTCGTTTAACGCCATTTCTGGATGAAAATCAATTTTTACGTGTGGGAGGCAGAATTCATAAGTCTCTTTTACCATTTGAATCAAAGCATCAATTAATTTTACCGAAAAAACATACTTTAACCAATCTCATTATTGACGATGCGCATATAAAGTATTTACATGCCGGCCCACAAACAGTCCAATACTTATTATTACAACGTTTTTGGATACTTTCTTGTCGCGATATCGTGCGCCAGCGCATACATCGCTGTGTTATTTGTTTTCGCTCTCGTCCTAAGTCTAATCAGCCACGTATGGCACCGTTACCTGCTACTCGTTTACGTCCCTCGCGACCCTTTATTAAGACCGCCGTAGATTACGCGGGTCCTTTTTACGTACGTGCAAATAAGGTGCGCAATGCTAAAGTTGTGAAATGTTACGTTGCAGTTTTTGTATGTATGAGCGTTAAGGCCATACATTTAGAGCTTGTGTCCGAGCTTTCCACGGAAGCTTTTCTCGCGGCTTTGCGGCGTTTCACATCCCGTCGAGGTTTATGTACTGATATTTTTTCGGACTGTGGGAAGAACTTTGTCGGATGTAATAATTATTTAAGGGATTTGTTCGCGTTCTTAAACAGCGACTCTGTACAGGCTAATTTAAATCGAGAGACACTTAAACAAGGCCTAACGTGGCACTTTCAGCCACCATACGCAAGTCATTTCGGTGGGCTATTCGAGGCGGGTGTCAAAAGTTTTAAGCATCATCTACATCGTGTTATTGGCACTCGTACTCAAACATATGACGAGATGCATACCCTCCTATGTCAAATAGAGGCTATACTGAACTCGCGTCCACTCTGTGCAATCAGTGCTTCGCCTGATCCGCTTCCTTTAACTCCATCACACTTTCTGATAGGAGAACCTTTGATTGCTTTGCCTGATGTTTCTTTGGTGGACGAGAATACTAATCGACTTACGCGTTGGCGCTGGGTACAGCAGTCCGTTCAGCATTTTTGGAAGAGATGGAGTAGAGAGTATCTTCATGAGATTCAGCAAAGTCAAAAATGGTTTGAGACTCGCGGGTCTTCTATTCGTGAGGGTACTATTGTGGTAGTTTGCGATGATCACCTGCCACCATTACAATGGAAACTAGCACGTGTCCATGCTCTACATCCAGGTTCGGATAATGTTACTCGTGTGGTGACTTTACAAAGGGGCAATACATTTTACAAGCGACCTGTTGTAAAGGTGTGTCCACTCCCTATCGAATAAACAATTAATCGTTGCATATCGAATCTTAGTTCTAAGTTTTTTATTTATATTTTATTTTGTTCTAAATTTAATATTCAATTTGTTCATTTAATGTTAAAGGCACGTTCCTTTAAGGTGAGCGGCATGTTCCGTAACGAAACAGATCATTGATAATTGGCTATACAAAGACAACACAACTGTGGGTAAAATTTTTATTGTCTATGGGCAAGGCGATTAGCTGTCTTCGTTCCAAATCCCCACCCTTAATCCTTGGGTGACGGTTTACTACTGTGATTTCAAATTGTTAACTGCGCGCACCTAATTTTGATTGAGCTTGGTGAATTGTTCGTTATCGAGAATAAGGACATTTCGGAAGAACGGTGGATCAGTGCCTATGGACTATATATCGTGTATGATATATTCGCTGGTAACCGCGTCGACGCACCCCGTTCCAGAACCCAGCCCTCGGAACCCGTGGCGGTAAAGGATCGCTTGCGGTGAGTCGCCAACCCCTGCTTAATATCGTACAGATAGTATAAAAACTTTTTACACGTTTCCCGATTACATAATATATTTTATTCGGCAACATTAAATCGCTTCACGGAAATTCATTTCAAATAGTGTAATTGTACAACCCAAAACAGTAGCACACATAATTTATTTGATTATTATAACGTAGAGTGATTTATTGATCAGACCCTTTTAGCATGAGAATAACTGCATTGCGCTTTTATAACTGTAGCCAATCCATTTGAATACATGTGCACCTTAATTTATAGTCTATTTGCAGTTACCCATATAAATTTAACGATTGTTTTCATTATTTTTAACGAAGAGTATACATAATAGAAGATTCAGAAGTAATTGTTAGAACCAAGAAAATAGTCGAGTCATTCCACAATTAAACTTATTTTATTACATTATAGTATAGTCATATTTCCTTATTATGTTTTTGCATTTAATATAGTAAATCTTTAAATTTAAAAGACTTACGTGAAAAAACGATATCTTTGCAGTATATGTAATACTGTATCATTACAACACCAGGCACTTCAACATATAATTATATTTTTCTATATAAAACAAAAGTATTCCGAAAAATATGCAGATAAAGCCGAGGAAAAATGCTCGCGTTCGTAGCATTATAACGCTGCGCCAAATTGTAATGCAGTTTCAGGGACATTATTTAATACTTGAACGAATGCGCATTTAGCGACGTCTACCTGGCTCATTTATTACTGCTGTGGTCTCATTCCATATGTTAACTGTTTTGGCACTACAGCACAGATGTTATAAATATTAAATCGCAAGGTAACCAATGCGCTTTTATTTTTTTAAAAGAACAAATATACGAATCCATAGTAAGTCTACTCCTATATAAAAATACATAGCAATTAGCTGAGGAAACCTTTTACATATATATTTTTTAATAAACACGCCATTATATTTTATCTGATGACTTCCGTAGCCAAAGTGTCGCCATCTGTGATATCCCGGGTTATGATACCGGTCTATTCTCTTATATTACGCAATTTTCTTTCCAGCAACATTATTAGTTGCTGGAAGGACCGCTGTCATGCCTAAGGACAAGTCCTAGGTATCCAACTTAACATTGCTTAGTGTTAAGAGTGAGAAGCTTAATCTAAGGAGAAGTTACATTTCTAGTTAACCCGACGTAGGACTTCCAAGTTAGTCATTTTTTGATTCCATTATATTGTCATCATACATATGTATGCGCTTTAATACGTTGTCTGAGGTCTTCTTTATTAGTCAAAGTCTCGGATCCGTTTAATAAAAGTGCTTAAAACTATTGAAGGAACTTAGAAATGTAAGGTTGTGTGGTATTTTTTTACACTTACAATATTCAATATCAATGCCACTTCTCTAGTGAAATCGAACATATTTTACTCTATTTATATTTGAAACTTTTTTCGTCATTTATTTCAAATCTCATTTCGACGATCAAAATGTTCCATTAATTCACAGAAATACCAGATTCAATTTCGTTTCTTTTTCTACAAAAAAAATATATATTCTTGCCAACATTACAAAGTTTCCCAATAAAAGCGAGTGCTCAAGACATCTCCTGAGTCAGAAATTTACAAAACTCACCGTTATAACGAACAAGGGATTTTCTAAATTTACATTAAGTATTCTTAACTTTTGAATTTTATTAAAATCTCACTTCTACCCACAACTTGTTTGGGTGCACTTCGAATTTATTATCCTTTGAAAACTGGAATAAAAAGTATCTATGTTTAGTTTAAGAATTAGAAAAATGTTACCGTATATATACGACCACGGTGTTTTTGTGTGAAAAATCAGAGGCCCTGTCGTCTATTTCAAAACAAAAGATCAGTTTATCGCCTTATTTATATATTTAATGGCTCAGATTGCCGAAGGGCATAAAAAGAGGAAATGAAAAGGAAACTGATTATAATATAAAATTTTATGCACTTATCACAAATTTTTCGTTGTATAATATTGTCTATATAAATATTTGTATTAATTATTTATTCACCTATCCATTACTTATCTACCGCAATAATTAAAAGAGTTGTATCTAACGAAGCATACGACTACATTTAACCCTTTTAAGGTCAACTTAGAAAAAAGCATCTGTATTTAATAGCAGACTTCCATTATCGAATATTTTGGGTCACACACGACCCTCTAATGGAACCAGAAATACCCATACCTATACCTGACCCCAGCAGGTTTAATTTATCGCTGGGATTCTAATGAAAACATTATTTATGGAACCACCTCTATGGGTACCAGCGTCAATGATGAAAAGGCTAAGGTATTCCGTTAATTCTGCGGCTTACGCCCGAGTTGTTGAATTTAAATTATATAGAATAATAGTTAAATTAAACACACAAGTTTAAAGGTGTGTACATAAATAAGTAAATATTTTCGAAGAATCAATAAACTATAGAAATATACATTTAACAAGCTGGTAAATGTATATTTGCTGTGTCTGCGACTGCGCCCGACTAAATTATATCCTATGCCACCCATCAAGTACTAATTTTAGTCCTTCTTTTTGAACGATTTAAGTTTCTTTAACCATTTTCAAACCTCTCTGAGACTTGTCTAGACATCCAATAAATCACTTTTGCCCAGTGTCTGTGCACAGGATAAACATTTTTCACGGACACAAAACTTTATTATGATGCCATCACTAGTGAACTAACTTTCATATTATGATATTCCGATATTTTTTGAGAGCAAAGCCTTAATGGTTGGGATCGGATTAGCAAAGAATTTTAGACTGTAAGATTTAATAATTACTTGCGTTATATAGTCACATAAATAGTTACTATCGATAGCTCATTAAAATTAAGAAACATGAGGAAAGTATAACAGAAACATGGATCAAAGGCAACTTTACTAAATTCATTTAAACTTAAAGTATAAACTATGTACTAAGAATATCTATTCATCCATAACAACAGTTATGTTAACACTGGTATTGGAGTATTTACTATAAAACGAATAAATCTATAATACTTATGGTATCGTAATTATAAAAACCTATTTTATTCATGTAAATTGGATGATCGTAACCTGACCTATTCTTGTAAATTGGTTGATAATTTTTTTATTAGACAACATCTCATTTCTCATATTCCAAAATATATAGCTAAAGCACTCGTATTAGATTATCTGAAAAAAACGAAGATAACACAATACCCAAACCCGAATAAATATAAAAATGTTCCATATTCACCGGACCGGGAGCTTAGGAACTCGGAGAAGACGACACGTTGAAACCGGCGCGCAAGCCACGCGGCTGCGGAGATTTACGAGAGATGGGAAATAATTTTTACTTACATCGATATGGTGTAAAAGTGGAAGCGCTGATGATGACCAGGCTATGCAAGCACCAGATGCAAATGCTCCAAGATTCACTGAAATTTAAAAAAATAAATTCACTGAAAAAAGTTATAAGTGTAAAACTAGAGTAGACTAGTATAGTAGAAGATTTAAGCTCTGCAGTTAATAAGAAGCTTTTATGATTTTGACCAGTTTAAAAAAAAGAAGGTTCTCATAATATCTGCCTCGTAGGGTAGAAACCTAATATTCTCATTAATTACCTATTCCTGTTGCGATATATTGTGTTGTAATTCCGGAAGTATCCTTCTTTATATCTGGGACAGTCTCAATCCTCTGTAGTATTCTCGGGTTACCGTTCTTCGGCTCCTCACATTTTTGATTGTCGTCATTGGCTTCCGCTGCCCTTGTGGAATTGGATGCACAAGCTTCCACATCTTGAGTTGCCGGCTGGTCTTCACTCACTGAAAGAGAATGAATTGGCTGTTATTATAGGAGGGTGGATGCGTCAGTTACACACCATTAACCGTGGTATGACATTTCAATCTTTAAGTTAAAATATAAACGTTTCTTTTTGCATTTTCTACAATTTTTACGTTTTGAAGCATTGTTGAAGTACAGCAATGCTTGGATAACAATACCTTCGATACCAATACCAATAATGGAATTATAGCTAAAAACAATATACATACCCAATAAACTTATAGTAATAAACTTATAATTAGAAAACATTTGAATAAGTTACATGATTTTAATAGGGATGACGACTGGGTAAAAAAAATGCAATTCTATTTAGTCCGTCGGTCAGATAACAGAAAAATATTAGATACATATATTTTTTAAATTCAATTTAATGAGAAATAGCTTAAATAACAAGCATTAAAGATGAGGAATGGGGGCTCGCCATATCACAGTTTTGTAGAAAACGTACCATAACGTGACGTCATGCGAAATTGCAACTCAATGTATCGCCGTAATTTTATGATTACGAAAGTCATAAAAAAATACGAGTTTAATATTTTTAACACTCGACGGACAAACAAACAAAAATTAGTCGTCATCCCTATTGTAAGTAGAATGTGATTTTTTGAGAGCATCAAAATTAGTTTTATTAGGATGTTAAATCGGTTACTACTAGTGCACTTACCCTAAATCAGAACAAATTTATTTCGAAGTACAGATTATCAGCTGATGACTTTGATCTTCAATATTACAAGGGACAAACGTCAAAATCTTACATACTACGAATCAAATATTTTTTTAATTTCATTCGTAGTATGTATGATTTATATGTTAAAAAACTTTAAAGCTTTTTTACAAAAAAAATAATCTCGTTATTATAGATACTTATAGATATACTATTTATGATGACATACCCATTTATTATACAATATCTGAAACATTTAAGGTAACAGGACACCCAGACCCGAAACAAATCGAACGAATCGAACCAGATACCACGAGATCTCAGATACCACGACACCTTGAAACCGGCGAGAAAGCTATTCGACTACGTTTGTTGTCAACGAAAAATCTATACTACTCGTAATATTATAATGAAATAAAGTTTCTAACGTTGTTTATTTGTTTGTTTGTAGGGAGCAATCTTAGGAAATAAACGATCCACGCGTATTCACGAAAAAACAGCTAGTTTTGAAGACTAGCTTTCCCCCAGCGGCTTTGCCTGAGTGGTCCCTATGGGACACATGTGTTTAGGGGGATAAAAAGTAGCCCATATTATACAGGCTTAAAATATAATTAGTTTTGATAAGTTTTAATGACAAATTGAATAGTAATCATAGTATAAAGTTTAAAAATTTTGGAATTGAAAAGAACACCTAACGTGTTGTTAACTGTACAAGTTCTTGGTTGAATGATTTATTATCTATTCCGTTCATACTATTGATAATGAATGAACAATACTTTTACCCTTTATTTCGGTCAATGCTTTTACTTCATCTAATGTCACGTACGTTATAAAAGTCACGTACGTAAAATTCACTTCTTGTAATAGAACACAAAGTTGTTTATGAATCATAATTTTTTATTTATAGTGTTATCGAAGCCTTAAAAACACGAAAACACACTTATCACACTTCGACGCGCCCACCGCGATAATATACTTCATTCTTAGCCTTGGTTTCTTGAGTATTTGACCTTAACAAGACTAGGACAGTACCGTAATATTCTCGACAATTAGGTATCGTAAACGTTTGTAGCTTTTTGGCTTTTACACATGAAACTCGTGCATGCTTACAGCTTAGTCATTATAAATACGAAATACGAAAATTTTCCAGAGAAACCCATTTTTCGATCATTTAAGATGCAATGGACATTGGAGCTAACGCTGAATCTGATGCACTGATAATCTTCAGTTTTTGATTTTAGCAAAATTATATCGACGATTTTCCAAACTTTCTTTCGAAGATAATCATAATAGGCCCTGGGGTGTCATATTTATTGGTACGAATTTTACGAAAATTAGAACATTGTTTGGTAGCTTTAAAATTTAACTGTGTAAATAAAAAGTTCAAAATGTAAATATAAGTTTGAGTTAAATATGCATTTGTCACACACGCATATTCAAACTGAGAAGAGATTAATTTTATAGTCAACAAAAGTAATCATAACAGTAAATAATAACAATTTTGCAAAGAGACTAGTATGACTTAACACATTAAATTAACTTTTTTACACAGGATAACCATACAGTATTATTAATTCATTATTAGAGGCAAGGAGATTATTTTAAAGTATTTATACTTTTTCATTGTTACAAATTTTAGTTTATTGGCTGTAGTAAACACAACGTTTTTTTTTACACCAGAATTAAGTATGTAGATGCATAAATATATCTCAAACGATTCATTATAAAAAAATATCTCTGTGAAAAATGATGCTCTTACTTCCCATTAACCTTAATTCTAATAAATAACTCGGGGAAAATGGAAATAAACTGCAATCATTTTTATTGATGGTGGAATTTTGTTTACGGCATGCGGCGAATGCAAAAATGGATATTCATCTGATATAAGTGTTCATTGCATATACCTGTAATAATAAATCTATGGCATTGCACATTTTATTTGTGAATGAGCAGATATATGTAGCATACCTACCGTTTTAAATTTATTTGACTTAATATCCTTATCACTACGTGATATTTTAATTGAGATATATCTCTTAATTTGAATACAATGTAAATAACTAGAAAACAAACTGCCAGTTGCACAAACGTTCGTGAACGTTTAATTACGCCTTTAAGCTCTAATGTCTAATTTGTATTGGTAATGACGCTGTAAACTAATGAAATTTTTAATGGAAGTTTGTGCAACTGGCGGTATGTTATCAATTAACTACTCACCTAAAATTAAAAATATATCTTCCTGAAAAAAGAATCAATAATAAAATTCAAAATTGGCTAGATACCCATTGACGTGTAACGCTTGAGTTGTGACCAATTTGGAATTAACTATCAACAAAAATGTAAACATACAACAGTAAGTAAATTAATATTCTTAAAATCGCAATATGTTTATTCACGAGACAGTTATAATGAACATACGTAATCAGTCAGTTCATTCATTCATACTCATACAATGATCGATTTGTATCTTCTTAAATACCTTATCGAATCTTAGTAATCCCTAACAACACAAAGGATTCAGAAAAATTACGTTAGTATTACGCTCGTGCAGAGTATATTCAACAGTGTCCATTACACATCATAAGTTGTCAAAAATATCTACAAGTAATTTAATTACTTTTCTTCTCGAAATGCAAGTGAATTGCAAAAGATGTTCAACCATGTAGGGTGATCAAAAGTTGGTACTTATTTAAAAGCTTGATTAAAACATCAAGTCGTTGCTTCAATAAATAACACATCACCCTATTGTCTATCTCGTATAAAAAGAAGCTTAATTTGAAAGATAATAAAAACACTCACTTTTTCTTTCTTTTGTTAAATTTTAAAAAAGAACAATTTCACAACGGAATGTTAAACTTTAGTTAAACGCGCCAGTGGCCAGACTAAACGGGTGTAATCTTGATAAGTACCAACCTCTGTTCAAAATAACCACCAGGCGTGATAAACCGAGGGTCGGTCGGTGGTGATAGTATTTATCAACGGATGTTGTGTAGAGATGAAATTAATGACGCCATCTGGCGGTGAGAGAATGAGACGACTGTTTTTTTTTACAAAGGACATCATTTTTGTCGTTCGAATTAGTGATGTACAAGACAGACTGATTTGAGTAGAAACTCTAATACCTGTAACACTAATTTGTACACTTAGGACAAATCGAGATCTCAGTTATAATGAATCGAGTTTGGTTTTATTTGGAACTAGTATTTTCAGAATAATCTGAACTACATATTTTCTGAAACTTAAACTTCATAAATAAGTAAGGCAATCAAATTGATGTTTGAAAAAATGAAATGTCCCTATGTTAATTATTTCAGTACAAGTCCGAGTTCTTAGACCCTTCTATTGATTTTTCGTCAAAAGCAGAAAGCATTTTCTCTCTGTTTTATTTCATACAAAGAAGTATGTTTGAAATATCGTTAAGAAGTATGTTTGAAATATCGTTAACCGGTTTGTATAATAGTAGCAGATTATAGAACCAGCCAATAAAAAAAACATGAAGATCGCAATGTCATTTCTACGTTATAAGTATAAACATGTGTTATTTAAGTTTATGCATTTTATATAAATATCAAGTTACTCATAACACTTATCAATCCAAAATTCATTCTTAATTCTTTCAATAATACTGCACATCACTAGCACGAGACGGGTGACACATTTATTTTTCACCCTTGCTTGTCATAGAACAGAGAAGATGAGCAAAACTCATCTGAAAATTATTTTATGCTGTTAGGCGCCACTTTTCGAGATTGTCCTTTTTTCATCAGTTATACACGAATAATATCGTGATTCGGCATAATTTAAAAGATTCCCTTAAAAACATAATGTTCACTTTATAATATTATAACAAAACTTAATGCTCAGGGCAAAATAAGAGATTAGGATTTTTTATAATGTATTTTTAACCATGTTATTGAGCAAATGATCTAGTTTCTTGAAAATTTTCAAAATTAGCATATCTTTAAAGTGTATAATTTACTAATTAAAAAAAAAGTTAAGTTTGAAACTCACGAAAGTGTAACCTGAAATGATAAATGAACCTTAAATTTATAACAATAATTTATTGCATACTAGCTTCGCCCGCGTAGTCCTATATCTATATATACAAAATTCTTGCGTTACTTAGTACTACTGCATTACTGACTGACTGTCTGATAGGCAACGCTGAAACTACTACAACTACTACTAGCCGATACTACTGAGCGTATAAAATTGAACTTTGGGATGAAGATTCCTTAGGGAGTGTAGAGGAGCACTAAGAGAGGATTTTTGAAAAATTCCACCCGAAGGGTCTACATTAGGGGATGAACGTTTCTATGAAACTTCATTACTACAAGTGCTACGAGTTTCAAATTTTTCATACGATGTATGCACTCATTAAGACGGGATTTTATGAAATTCGACCTCTAAGGGGTTAAAACAGGGGATGAAAGTTTTTTTGATTTTTTTCATTTCTGGTCTTAAACCTAGACCACGCGCGCGAAGTCGCGGGCAAAAGCTAGTTATACACTATTGCATTTCAATCGTTAAGAGTGGGTATAAAATCGAAGATAAAGGGTGGCAATTTGCGTGTCAACGCTTGTTACAACTGTTGTTAATTTTGTATTTTTTTCATTCATGAAAATTTTATAATTATATCATATGAAATTAATCAAATCAAGGTCATATATTCAGTCTAGGCTGCTACAAGCACTTGTGAAAGTCGGAACTCTATGCCATTGGTCTACATAAACTGTACTTAGTGATGAAATTTATTAGTAAATTTATTTTGATAAGGATTAATAGCATGAGTAAAATAAACGCGTTTAAATGTAGTCCAAAGAAAAATCAAGATTTTTAAATAAAAAAATGGTTGTTGTGCCTCACTTGACATAGATAGGTATGAGGTGTCGCGTACTTTTTTGTAGATATTTGTAAGATCAACAATTAATTAGAACATTTTATGGTTATATCTATTATAGTTTAGGCAGCGTACGCAAAATAAGTAACTTTTCTGGTTAATTTTTTACACCTTGTTGCCGAAAAACCCAAATATCTTACGGAACCCTATTTTTTCCAAAATGAAATATAGCCTATGTTACTCGTGGATAATGTAGCTTTCGAATGGTGAAAGAATTTTTAAAATCGGTTTATTAGTTTTTGAGCCTATTCATTACAATTAAACAAACAAACAAAGTTTTCCTCTTTATAATATAGATAAAGCATAATAGAACGTGTCAATGTGTGTAGTTCCATTAAATATCTGCTTAGCAATAATAAAACGCAAAAAACTGTCTGTTTTTAAGATAATTCAAAATACCCAATGTTTTGTGAATGTGGGCAGAAAAACAGAACCGAAGTGCAAATGGCTTAATTTCAAAAAACTATAACAAAGAAACGTACTTTAACATTTAAAAAAAATGTTTTCATAAAGTCGATATACTCATGTGTATATGTAATTAATCGTTTTTCCGATTTTAAACTATTTTCTATTGTTTTCAACTAGGTTTGTCTCGATTCCGTATACGGTCTCTTATTCACTTTTTGCATGGCGAAGTATGGAGTACTATGCACTCAAACCAATGAGCATTTTGATTTATTTGCTTTGGTTTGGTTTGATACTATGTTCCCTGCACTCTTTAGAGTAAAAATAGTCTCACTGAATCTATTCCGGGTGATGGTAAACTATAGTTTTTGAAAGTGATGACGAAAGTTCCGATAAAGACAATGTTTCTCTTACTAACCTTGTCATTAAAAAAATAAACTGAGACGATCAAATGGGAATCAATTGGATCATGTGAATTACACTTTCACTGGATAAACTTACACTTGTTTAAAATGTATAGTTTTATGCTATAATGAAAAACTGCTTGTTCAAATTTCACTAATAACTATAGTAATTTTCTCAATACATACCTACGACCCCATATATGGTTCCATAAAAAAAATCGAAAATATAAAACTTTTTGTTTATTTTTGTTTTGCTATATCTTATTTTTGCATAAATAAAGCCGAACAATTTTTTTTCTTGAACGCTTTTATAATTGCACTTGAGGGTTAAGACTGTTTCAATAATGAAAAACATTGCCATTTGACTAACGGGCTTCTATTATGTTTGAAACATGTTCCAATAATGCTAAGTGGTAATCAAATAGCAAACCAGCTCAAGTTTAACGGTCACGTACTACACACAGGAATTGAACTGGCAGCTTATTCAAGTAAAGCCGCCACAAACATAGGGGCTCGCATATTTCATCGCGGCCGCTTTGATATCCCTCAGCCTGCGGATAAATTGAAAATCTTATTTGAACTTTGACCTGAATAAAGAGCTCTTATTCTTATGTAAAAAAGATGTATTAAGACAACATATTCAATCGTATTGTGTTTATTTGTAAATAACGCGTGAAATATGACTGGCATTTTATTGTAGTACTTTTTCTGATTTGCCCATAATATTACAATAGACTTTGCTAACTTATGTCTATGGAGATTTATAAATCGCTTTTTGTTATCTATTTAATTTTTAATATTTTCATTATTTAATAGCTGTTCGTGTAATATAAAAGAAGCTTCCCGCGGTCTATGTACCGACAAAACTAGTTAATAAATGAATAATCAATTTTCGTTTTTACTTAAAAACGAGGTCTTATGCTAGATTTGAACTGCATCCTGAAAGTGGAAACTCTTGAATGACCTTTATATATATTACGCTCATTTCGATCTTTGGATCGAATTCGCTCATTGAGCGAAAAAAAAAAAGTTCACAACGCATTGTGGCCACAGTAAAATGGCTCTTATGGAAACGCTCACGACGGGTTGTGACATTCACAGAATAACCACTTGTGAAATAGAAGAAATTTGTGTCGTAACTGACATGCTAAACCACATTTGATTATGACTCATAGTACTTTGCGAAATGGGTACAGATTTTAGTTCAAGAATTTTGTTTTAAGTGTTAGAAATAGAATTTTGTTTTAAGTATTAGAATTAGCAATAGAAATAGAAACCCATAGGTTAAGTTAGATTAGAGTATGACAAACAACGCACGAACCGAGCGAGCAAAGCGAACGTGCCGCGTGAGCGGCCAGCGAAGTGCCAGATGCGAATCGTTATGTTTCCGACGAGCGAAGAGAGGAGGAGCGTATTATATTGTCTGTGAGCAAACTAGAATCGACTTAACTAATACTACACCTAGTCCATCGTGTTATGATTAAACCGTTGTAGATTTTCTTCATTGCCACAACGTGTTGAGATCGAATAGCATGTCAGCCACACCACAAATTTTGCTATGTGGTTATTCTGTGATTGCTACAACGCGTCGTAAGCGTTTCCATTATAGCTTCAACACGAATTTCGCTATGTGGATATATGGCCACAACGTGTCGTGAACTATTTTTTCGCTCAATGAGCAATCTACATTTAGAAGTTTTCCATAAAGAATAGAAATACCAAATAATAAAAATAACATCATTTTGTCTTCAGCGCTATAAGTCATTGTTACAGCGCTTTTAAACGTTTCATATTGCATTTCATCTCTCTCAGCTACATCTTTTAAGAGTAAATTAATCACAAGATTGGTCTTCCCTGTGCTCGCTGTACAGATGACACCTAACCCCTATATCTCCTAGCGCCGTTTTTAACATATATACATATAAAATATTACAGGCGAACATTATTATCTAACCACCTCGTATCAACAAACAAGATTGCGCCTCTATTGTATGTTTCTATTTGTTAAGCCGATTAATTGTAAACATACACACATAAAATACATTTAAATCAACCTTCTGTAATTAGGCTATATTATTTAAGTGAATATTGTTAATTATCTTTCCATTTAATACTAGTATTTAATACAAATTACATTTGTACATATATATAAAATATGCGCGCTGACGTAGAAAACATCTATACAATAAATCATATATTCAACATACCTATAAACCTTTTGTCCAAAACACGCCCATAACTTAAAAAAAAGTTCCAGCTAATAAATTAATGTTTTAAATATCTATATCTATACTAATGTTATAAAGAGGAAATATTTGATTGTTTGTTTGTTTGCAACGAATAGACTCTAAAACTACTAGATCGATTTTAAATTTATTTCATCTACGGTAAGTTACATCATATGCGGTGAATAAAGTCTATATTTTATCCTGAAGAAGAACAAATAAACGGATGAAAATGAGAGTGGAATTTTGTATAGAGAATTAAAACATTACCATAATAACCATTCTTTACTAATCACTGTCATTGTAATTATATCTGCGAATAGGGTCGCGCACAAAAGCTATTTACTATTGCAATATTCTAAGCGATTTTCAAAGACAGAAAACCGCTTCGAGTTTGAATTCTGTTCTTCGTTAATGCAGGCCTTATCAGTAGCTATCACCTAAGACCATATACATAATGGCAGCCTATTGAGCAATGTTTTTAGATAATAATAGATGTAAAACTAATAAAATTATTGAGAAGCTCGATAGCGCAATGTCTGGGTGATTATAAATTTACTATTTCGAGCGTCACCGTTCTTTAAAAGGTACGTTAATGCGACGGTCCTAGCTGCAATCGTTAATAACCACCAATTCGTACTGATTCCGCGTGGTTGGTTATGGGCCAATTTCTCTGTACGGTTCAATTCGATTTCATCCATATGGAACGCGGTACCCAGCATAGCGTATAGGGGACGTTACTAGGCTAATAATAAAGATCCAGCATTACGCACCCTTTTAAAGCATCGTAGACCATGTCCTTTCCCATATTTTGTTTCAGCATCGTATGATGTTTATTGAAAAATGACCTCATAAAACATGTTTATCGTAATAATTATATTTCTCTAATAACTTATAAAGCGATGCGCTTTAATAACATAGACTTGTTTATACTCTATTTCCTGTTTGTCAAGTCCATAGAGAATAGGTCAAGACATGTATGTGTACTCTCTAGTATCTCATTAGAGATCTAATTAACAAGCAAAGATTAAAGAGTAATAAAAACTTCAGAGTCGCGGTTATTTCTAGTACCCTCAAATATTTCAGAAGTCGTATCGAGCTGTACTGTAACAAAAAACAAATGTTACTTTCATCATCATTGTCAGCCTAACCAGGTCTTTCCTATGGGACGAATATGATCATAGGGAGGGAAGGATTGAGGGGTAGAGGGAAGGGAATAGGGAGGGGTTGGGCCTCCGGTACCCTCACTCACACGACGAAACACAACGCAAGCGTTGCTTTTCGTCGGTTTTCTGTGAGGCCGTAATCACTACGGTCGAGCCGGCCCATTCATGCAAGCGTGAATTTTATATAAATTTCCTAGATCCAGATATGATAATAAATACTGACATAATATCACGTAATAATTACAACTAAATAATTAAGTTTTATCTTCCGAAAGTTTATTTATAAAATTCAAATGTTTAATAAATATTGGAGATCAATTAAACTGCTTATGTACTGCAATCTTGAAATAAAATAGCATGTAATGAATGTAGTATTTTAGAAATATAGCCCACTTTATAAGAAACAGTAGCTCCGCTACACAAGAGTTTTAGTTTTCGTATTTAAACATTATTTCATAAAATAACAGTATAATGAGACCACATAAATGAATTTAATTAAGAAGTCAAATATGAACGTACAATGTGTGACCAAGTTATGTCTATGAGAATGTTGACTATAAACGTACTGACTATGAATATATCGACTGTGATCGTAGCGATTGTAAATGTGCTGACTACGTGCTTGAAGAAAAAGGAAAGTAAACTCAGCTTCTCAGTAAACCGGCTTAGTGCAAATTGAACTCACGCGATGAAGCTTACTCACAAATGTTTTTTTTTAATCATAGATAACTTACACGTTTTTCGATAAACTTTTGGTAAAAAACGTTTTTCCGTATTTTTTTTTTCAAACCTAGTTGTTTCAAATATCAGAATATATTCAATTTTCGTATTTTTATGCAAGCACACCAAAATTATTTGGAGTCGTAAAAAAATATATATTCGTTGTTCGCACAATGAACCCGTTCTTTGATATTTCGAATAATCTTTCTTTGATGTGGTCCAAAACTCGTTTTTCCTTAATAATTTTCCCTCCTAAAAAACGCCTCGTTTTAGTTACCAAATCACAACTCGTAATTCTCTCGTAAATCACTCGCCGGCAACCTTATGAGCTGGAAGAGCCAAAAGCTACAATATACAATTTTTATACATCTGTTAAACTAAACATTTTCGTTTCAACATTTTTCATATTATATTTGTGATTTTATTTAAAATAGAGGCATTCGAATATCTTATGGTCAGTCATAGTCAATATCGCAATCATAGGTTGCTAAACTACGTATCGATTACACGATTTAAAGGATTTTATCATTAAAATACTAATTTTATGCATACAATGAAACTTTAGAACTACAACTTTTCATCGAAAGAGCCGCATGATGCTCGTTACCTTAAGGTTGCCGACCTCTGTTCTAGACTGATTGAGTGGAAATTTCATAGGCAAACATATTTTTCCTGTTGAGGTAAAAGAAGATTGTATAAATCTAAATGTCTATATTTCTAAAATACTAATTTTAATAGCTATGTTATCTTTAAAATACATAAACGACAATGTTAAATACTCCACTTATTAATAAATACCTCGGATAACCCTTTGAAATAAAAACATCATATGAGTGACGTCATGTGATCCGCTATCCTTCATATACAACTGAAAACTTTTTCCTCCAAGATAAATTGTTACGAAAAGTATTCAGTAAAAATTATACTTATCTCGGTGTCAGCTTATAAAAAAGATCCTCGGTATAATTGTGCCACAGTTAATATACAATCGGTAGTACATCATTACTTGGTTTATTTACATACAATAGTCGCTTACCGTTGTCTGTCCGCTGAGATCTATTTAACTATACGTCGGATTTAAATGCGATTTTTATCCATATACTGAGTGATTCAAGAGAAAGGTTTATAACCATAATACAGGATTACCCCGTATGATGTAGCTATACGTAAGTGAAAGAGTTTTTAAAACCAGTCCAGTTCAAAGCCTATTCGATACAAACAAACAAACAATCAAATCTTTCCTCTTTATAATATTTGTATAGTTTTTAAGATCTTCCAGTTTAATTATACATATATTAAATTTTAAAAGCAGTTGATTTACTGACTCTCTAAACACTATGTCGCCATCGCGTTAAAGATAACTTTTTTGTCTCCTACCAAATGCAAATCCCGTCGGCGCGGGATCACCATCATGTTTTGTTTATTTAGGGCAACTGTCAAATTATTCTCCTTTTTTATAAGTATAGTAAATACGTCATCAAAAGGTGTTACATTCAGATAGGATATATTGAATCAACTCAAAAGGGATTATATAAAAACTAGGCTTAAACCACTGAAAATGTTTTTTTAAAATCATGATTAGATACATACAGAACAAAATATATTATTTTGATACGAACTGCTTTCCCACGACTTCTTACGCGTAGATTAAATACTATATTAACCCCGTAGAACGTAGCTGTCCCAAGGTGAAAGAATTTTTAAAATCGGTCCGGTAGTTTCGGAGCCTACTTATTCGACGAAAACAAACAAACGAACAAATCTTTCCTTTTTATAATATTAGCATGAAAAACTTTTTATAATAATTGCGTTTGGCATATCAATTTGGCGCACTTAAAGTTTATTTCGAAAGTGCAAAATGCTAATACTTATATATTTTTAAATAAAAAAAGATATTATACATATATTATAACACTTGTATAGTATTTTTGTTCATTGAATGTCAAACAATCATAAAGAAGTTTATAAAACCTTAATGCATATAAATTATTTACGCTCAAATTTCGACAACAGGGATGACGACTGGGTAAAAAAAAAGAAATTCTATTTTGTCCGTCAATCAGATAATAGAAAAATATTAGTTATGCATTTTTTTTTACTTCAATTTAACAAGAAATAGCTTAGATAACAGACATTAAGTTTGAGGTGTGGGGACTTGCTCGCGAGAAAATGTACAAATGCGTGACGTCATGTGTCATTTTAACTCTATGTATCGCCGTAGTTTATTGATTACGAAAATAATAAATAAGTATCTACCTGACTGACAAACATTTTTGGTAAATAATTCAAATCCGCCTGTCGATATCAGGTGAAATTGAGATTAGAGCTTATCACAAAACAGAAAATAGTTTTTATTTCATTAATAAATCGATGTTAAAAAGTATTTTGTTATTTCATTAATAAGTCGATGAAGTGTATTTTCAACTTAAGAACACAGAAGGTCCCAAAGTACACGGCGATCGTTTAGATAAGTGCCGTCGACCCGCGGGACTAATAGGGACCGCTCGATGGGACACTTTATAGTTACCGGGACAACTTCCAAAACAACCTATCTAAACGAAATACTTTAATATTTAGGAATAAATATTAAAATTTACCGGTTTATGAAAAAAATTTGTATAAGTTATCTAATTTGTATAAGGTATCTAGGAATAGGTAACCAACATAAAATTTGTACCCTCCAATATTTTATGTAGGTGGATATTAAAAAATCAATTTTGCAGAATGCCCTAGTAGCGCTGGTACATTTTTATAAAACTATACAGCAATTTTTTTATTCGTTCTTACCCCGAAATTTAATATATTTAAATTTCGGGGTAAGAACATATTTGATTTCACTATTATAACCGTGTATCAATACATAAATAATTCTGTGAAGTCGTTATAACAACGATCTCATGGAATTGATGGAATCTTTAATATACGTAATTAAATTATTTTGATGTACATCAATTTTTTTTTAATATAAATATATTATATTATATGTTTAATTATTTTCATATCCAAAGTAAAGCTATCACTAGCTAGAAATATAAATCTTAACCCTACAAGGCTCAATATTTCTTTTTTTGGTTGTGGAAAAAAGTATATATAATGTAATTAGTTATTAGTAGTTAAAAATAATCCAATATTCTACCAGATAATTTTTATTTTTATTTCAGTTCCATATATTACTATACTATTTACAGCCTTAACTATACTATTTGGCAATGAACTACAATAAACGTAATAATTAGGTAACAGTATCTTATATTAATTATCACGAGCTTTTTTTGTTTTATCATTATTAACATAATAAAGAAGTACATTACAAAGCCTGAAACAAAATGAAATAAGAAACAATTATGTTTAAAAAGCTACTTATGAAAGTTTCAGAAACAATAATTATCTTTATTCAGGTAAAGTCTTTTAGTAGAACTCTTTTGTACAATAACCAGCTATTGATCAAAGAAATATCAAGAAGATGATAAAATAGTCTCAACCACAAAAAATATCGAAGGGGTGTTTCAAAGTCTTTAATAGGTGACTGTACACTTGTGTATCCAGTAAACGGAGAATGATTTGAATGAAAAGTTGTTTTTCTCCAAATGAATCTCCTTTTATTTTTTATGGGAACATACGTAGAACCAATGGCTCCAGTTGATGATCCGCCAAGTGCCCGTGATTGTGTAATGGTACTTGTAGTTGTCTCTGATGTGCCCGGCTGTGGGTCGGCTGATATTTCAGGCCCTCACAACATGAACATCCTCGTTAGCAGGAGACAAAGATAGTCTCTGCGGTGGTAATGAAGTTTCCTCGTCGTTAAGTGATTTTGATATCAGCTTTTGGATTAATTG